CCCAGGCCCTGGGCATCACTCCCAGGCCGGGGAAGGGGTCCCGTGAGGGCCTGGGCCTGGCGGGTCCCCGGGCCCAGAGGGGTCCCCTCTGCTGAGTGGCTGCCGGGTTGGGGCCCGTGCTGAGTCCCAAGAACCCCGAGGGGCGGGAGCCCGTCCCTGTGGTCACCCTCTGGAGGCGTCCGGGCCCAGCGCAGGGGCCCCAGGCTGTGCCCCCACCCAGCAGACAGCCCAGCGGCTGGCATCGGACACCAGCAGGCTGGAGACGCGCCGTCGTGGTAGGAGTGCGGTGGGGGCTCTGGCGGGTTCGCAAGACCGGTGCCCGCCCCACTCAGGCGCCCTCATCCCCCAGAGGGGGCCCCCAGTGGCTCCACCCCGCCGGACCCGGCCCAGACCTCACCAGAGCCCAGCCGCGGCCCCTCCCCACGCCCGGAAAGGCCTCCTGCCGCGGCCCTCGGCTCGCCGCGGTGATGCCGGGGCCGCCCCGTCACTGCCGGCGTGCCGCGGGGTGGCAGGGCCGGGCAGCCAGCCCAGCGTGCTGGGACAGCTTCCAGCTGGCCGGTTGGGCAGACACGGGGATGGGCGCGACTGGGCCTCCCGTCCTGAGCAAGTCAGGGTGGCCCGCAGGCTGGCGACACCCTGGGGTGCCACCCCGAGTCACCGCTGGGAGCCCCGGGCCAGGGCCCAGCAGCAGCCCTGCCTGGCCGGGGGTCCCAGGGTCATCGCGGGGGGAGGAGGCCGCTGGTCGTGGGCTCTGCCCTGGGGCCTGCGCGTGTACCACTCAGCCCCCCAGGGGCTTGGGTGAGGGGTGCCATCCCGGAAAGACGCCCAGCTGCTCCCGGCACCCGGGGCAGGGCAGAGCGTCCCTCTGGGTGTCCCTTGATGCACTGGGAGCAGCGGGGGAGGGGGCCGGGCGGAGGGAGCCGCCTGTGTTGCCAAGTCTCACGTTTCACTTTTAAAGTCACAGACACCCCCCACAGGAAGGAGGTGGGCTCACAGCCGCCTGCTGGGCACCCCTTCTCCAACCTGACTGGCTTCCTGACTCAGCTTCCTGCAGGGGCCACCTGGGCCCGGCCCCACCCCCGCCTCAAGGGCTGAGGAGGGCTAACAGCTTCCTGTGAACTTGGACTTGTGAGTTGCCCAGGAAAATGTGAGCCTCGGGCCTCCCTGGGGTGCTGGGGCCAGTCTCAGGCAGTGCCCCCAGCAGCCTACGTCCATCCCCGGCCAGGGCGGGGCCCACGGGGCAGCAGACCCCTCCTGCTCCGCGCCGCCCCCTCAGCGGTGGGTTTGGGGGATCCGCCTGCTCTGCTTCCCACTCTGTCTCTGGGGAGTCCTTCACCCCCACTTCTGGCCCACACTTACTTGTGTAAGTAAATAAAAAAAGTAACTTTGGGCCCTCCCTGGTGGCGCAGCGGGTTAAAGCACAGCACTGAGAATCTGAAGCCACTTCCGCATGAGTTCGATTCCCGC